TTGTCGAAATGCGCCCAAACGTTTGATGTGTGTCTGTCTTCGGTTTCAACGGCAGTTGATGATCCCGCCTCAGCTTGAGATGAAGTTGGACGAGCACAGCGATTACAAGGACGACTTCTAGAACCACCGGGAGCTGTTGGAATCGGGGGCATATTTTGAGGTGTATCGGATTATGAGAATTGGAAAGCGGGACTATTTGAATCTCCTCCTGCATTTATGTTAGTAAAATAAGCGGGACTAGGACTAGGATAGTAGTTTCCTTCATCTTTGTAAGTGATGGGAGAGAAATATATATCCATTGTAGTTGAAAAAAAAAAAATTGATGTAGAAGAAATAAAAATTAAAGAAAGAGAATTGGAATATGGAAATTGGAATTTTGAAAATTGGAAATATAAATTAAAAATTGCAAAAACTAATAAAAATTAATCCATTGTAGTTGAAAAAAAAAATTGATGTAGAAGAAATAAAAATTAAAGAAAGAGAATTGGAATATGGAATTTGGAATTTGGAAAATTGGAAATATGAATTAAAAATTGCAAAAACTAATAAAAATTAATCCATTGTAGTTGAAAAAAAAATTGATGTAGAAGAAATAAAAATTAAAGAAAGAGAATTGGAATTTGGAAAATTGGAAATATGAATTAAAAATTGCAAAAACTAATAAAAATTAAAATACGAGCAAATTGATAACAAAGAGATTAAGAGAATAAATGAATAATTGAGAGATTAAAGATTAGAGAATATGAGAGAATTTGAGTTGTGAGAAAAATGTGAGAGTTTAGGGCCAATTTATAAAAAAAATGGGAAAGGAAAATGATGAAAAAGACCCATCCAACGGCTATAAAACGGCTATATTTCAAGGGTAAATGGGTAATTTGAAAAAACGAATTAAATTATATATATTTTTTTAATTTTTTTTTTTGGCCAACCCACGGGTTGACGTTATTATATAATAGTCAACCCGTCGGGTTGACAATAGCCAACCGGCGGGTTGGTAGTCTCTCTTAGAAGAGACAAAACAATAACCCGTCGGGTTGGCAGGTTGCCATTTTGCAACCCAGCCCGCCCGGGGGTTGCTGTCGAGTTGGGTTCAACCCGGACCGCCAATATGGCAGTCCGGGTTCAACCCTCTTCATTGCGGGCTAGGTTAGGGTTGACCCGCCTAACCCGACCCATTTGTTCCACCTCTAGTAATAGCCTAAGAGGATCTCTACTGTTTATCTTTTGGGGCAGCTCTTCTCACCACAGCAGTTTACAAGTTGATTTATGACAATGAGTTATTTGGTCCTCCCATTACTTTTTTGGCTAAACGACATGCATCAACCCATAGTTTGCCATAAAGACAATTTGCTACCCAAAAAGTTTGAAAACAATAATTACCCACTTTTAGTACAATCTGTTTAAAATTGGACAATATAGTAATTTTATGTCCAACCCAAAAATAATCTTCAATAATCATCATTAGTTTTAAACTAATCCATAAACCCACCATAATTAAAACAACTTCAATTAATAAAAAAGTTAAACTTAATCACACAACCAAATTTAAAGAAGTATTTCAAAACAGATTTCACAGAAATCTTACAAACAAGATTGTACATGAAGTGAAAGTTGCAAATGAAGGAGCAGTGCGGTCAAATCGGAATCGCAGCTCTTTTACATATGCTTAATGGGATGCTCATGAACGATTACAGTGAATGACTATTGCAATCTTTCATTCAACCAAGATTTGCATAAACTATCAACTCCCGTTAAGTCAAAATCTAACCCAAATTCATCCAGATTGGCAGAAAAATCACCTCCCATAAATTCAAACACAATTGAAATTCATCCCCATCTTAAAACCACATTCAAAATTCATCCTCCATCTCAACTCCATTATCAAATTTATCTTACATCTCAACTAAATAATCACAGTAAGGAAAAAAAAAAAAATCAAACCCATAAAACCCATTGCTGAAACCTATGAAAAAGAAAAATGAAATTGTTCTTGTCTCGGTCGGGTGCGATTCCGGCGCCTGGACCTCCACCAGCCCCAAACTCGCCACCAAAACCGCCAAATACAGCCAACCGCCACAAACCACCACAAATTTCAAACACTTCCAACCCAAACTGTAAAAAATTATAAAAATTAAAAAAAACTAAAGAGGAAAAAACTTTTGGAGCGAATTTTCTCTCAACTGGTTACAGTGGGCGCTGCTGCCGATGGTTTTCGCCAATTTTTCGACACTCAACTGCAGCCCTCACCCTCCCAGCCCCCTCCCCGTTGCGCCAATGGGGTTTCCATCAGCCCTCAACGTCCCAGTTCATATTCTGGTGTCAGGTTATTACCTAGTGAACAGAGGGAAAAAAGGGAGAAGAAAAGAAAGAAAGAAAAGGGGAGGAGGGAGAAGAAAGGAAGGAAAGAAAAGGGGAGGAGGGAAAAGAGTAGACCTGGCAAAACGGGTGGGTGGGCCGAGTACGGTCCGGGTTAAACGGGTACGGGTCCTTATACAGGTCGAGATATACGAGTCCAAAATATTGGACCCGTGCCCTACCCTATACAGGTATGGGTGAACCCGTGGGTGGACCCGTTTTTTCTCTCTCCAGATTTTAGTTTTATTTCACTCCTAATAGTTTTCAATTATGACAGTTACACCCCCAAAATTTCTACAGTTTTAATTTTTTACATTTACAACCCTAAATCAACTACTCAAATCAAGAAAATTGATGATTAAAGGAATAAAAGAGATTACAACTTCTTCACATGCAAATATGAAAATGCTAAAGATTCCCTTAGAAGTTTTTTATTGTAGATTGCGTTTCCTCAATATAGCATACCAATCCTAAGATCAGAAGCAACCTTCCAACTGCATCAGAAACAAGAAGCTAAAATCAGCATACAGAAAATTTACTGGCTTAAAATGCCAAACCAATTTTTATTTTTTTACTCTGTTCTATGAGTCACCCCTTGCATAATATTTCGTAATCGCCTTGAAGTTTTCAAATTTACACTACAATGAATCTAAAGTCTAAACTACTATGCACAGAAACAATATCGAACCCCGTCTGGTGCTTCACCCCTTGACCCTGAAAAGCTCATTGGTGAGATCTCATTGTTCCTAGTAAAGTAGTGAACATTGTAAAATTGTATTGTTTATAGTTCAACTAGGCATATTCAAGTAGAAGCTTAGAGAATGTAGATTTTTTCGAAGCATGACTCAACATAACTCCTTGTCAAAAATCTTAAGCTTTAATGGTACAGTTAGTTCCACCATTGTATATGGTAAAGGATATTTTTCTCACCAAAATGGCCTCTATCTCCTTCTCAGAGACGGGTGTACGTTTTGGCTGAAGAGAAGCGTTTCCTCCCACAACAGTGTTTATAGGTGGTGCTAGAACATCTGAACTTGACCTTATTTTTATTAGTGCTCCCATTTGTTGATGTAGATTGGGAGGCAGAACCTATTCAAGGAATATCATGATACTTTTAAGATGTTGATAAATATGAAACAAACTGACGATTAATCGAAGAGGGAGACACCGAGATAGGGAGTTGAACTTTAGGCACGAAGAAGACTGATGAGAGATTGAGAGGTAGGACTGCAGGAGAGATTTGAGTTACTGTGAGTCTGAGAGATGAGATGCGGCTGCGGAGAGATTTGAGTTACTGTGAGTCTGAGAGATGAGATGCGGCCGCGATAGAGTTATTGAGAGTGAGAGATCAGAGATGACATGAGAGTGAGAGATCAGAGATGTGAGAGATGAGAGTGAGAGATCAGAGATGTGAGAGATCAGAGATGAGATGAGACTGAGAGTGAGGGTGAGAGGCGTGACCGCGTGAATGGCTGAATGCGTGATAAAATTAGGGGTTATTGTGGGTTAGGGATTCAAATTCATTAGTGCAAATATAGGTGCCCGCAGGTTCACCTGTATAAACCGTGTGTAATTGGGCCGGGTATAGGTACGGGTCTCAAAAAATGGGTTTAATAAATTGGATCCTTATCCTATATTTTTTACCTGGGTACGGGCCGACCCGTGGGTCTAGACCTGTTTTGCCAGGTCTAGAAAAGAGGGAGAAGAAGAAGAAAGATAAAAGAGAGAGGCTTAGAAGAGATGAGATGCATAGAGAGAAGAGAAAAAGAAATAAAGAAATAGGATTAAAAAAAAAAAAATAGGGGTTTTAAAGTTTATTTTTTGGTTGGATATAAAATTACTATATTGTCATTCTTTAAACGGATTTTAATAACAGATTTGGATGGAAAGTGGGTAATTATCATTTTTAAACTTTTTTGGGTATCACATTATCATTATGACTAACTATGGGTGGGTGCCAGTCGTTCGGCCTTACTTTTTTTAAAAGATTATGGTATCGTTTACAGCTTAATGTAACAAATCCCACATTGAAAGCGTATTGGGGAGGTCTTGGGCTTATAAATGAGGGGAGTCCCTCCACCTAATAGGTTAGTATTTTGGGTGTGAAACTCCCAGCCCGTGACAAGTGGTATCAGAGCAGACCCAATCCGTCTTTCGATGTCCTGCTAAGCGCCCACGCAGGGACGTCTACGTGTGATTGTGGGTCCACACGAGAGTGAGGTGGATGGGTAGGCAGGGGGCCCCACCTGTGACGAGGGCGTCACAGGATTGGGTGAGGGAGAATGTAACAAATCCCACATTGAAAGCGTATTGGGGAGGTCTTGGGCTTATAAATGGGGGGAGTCCCTCCACCTAATAGGTTAGCCTTTTGGGTGTGAAACTCCCAGCCCGTGACAAGTAAATGTAACAAATCCCACATTGAAAGCGTATTGGAGAGGTCTTGGGCTTATAAATGGGGGGAGTCCCTCCACCTAATAGGTTAGCCTTTTGGGTGTGAAACTCCCAGCCCGTGACATTAAGCTAAACAAGAAACAAGCAAAATAAAACCTTAATTACAAGATCCTCTTCTAATCTGAGCTTAATTTGCTTAAAGATATATCTATAATTCTAATTAACGACCATCCATCAGTTATAATGAACACTTAAAGCTCACTACGACTTGGTAGTAGTTCATCATCATCAAACAATGCTCTGTTTAACGAGGATATTTCAGAGATCAAAATCTACCCACCTTGCTTTTTTATCTTCTGTGGCTTCCAAATCCTCGTCTGAAATCGAACGAATTACCCGAATCATCAATGACCATCCATTTCCCGATCAGCCACTTCACCCCACTCTCCTCCACCATGTCCCACCGACTCTCCTCTCTCCTTATTTCGTCGAAAACGTTCTCGGCCGTCTCTTTGCAGCACACTCCAACGGCCTCAAAGCCCTCGAATTCTTTAAATTTTCACTCTCGCAGCCCCACTTCACTCCAAGCTCGGATGCTTTTGAAAAGACTCTTCACATCCTTACACGTATGCGCTACTTCGATAAAGCTTGGGAGTTGATGATTAACACGCGAGAAACACATCGTTCTCTGCTCACTCTCAAGTCAATGAGCATCATGTTATCGAAGATCGCGAAGTTTCAATCTTTCGAAGACACCGTTCACGCGTTTGAGAGAATGGAGAGTGAAATTTTTGTGGGGAGGAAGTTTGGTACCGAAGAGTTTAATGTATTGCTTCGAGCGCTTTGTACTGAGAGGTATATGAAGGAGGCGCGCGCAGTGTTTCAAAAGCTGCACGTTCGTTTTAGTCCCAACATCAAGACGATGAATATTCTGCTTCTGGGGTTTAAAGAGTGCGGTGATATCACAGCAATGGAGCTGTTTTATCACGAGATGGTTCGAAGAGGCTTTAAACCAAGCACGGTAACGTATAATATCAGAATCGATGGGTATTGTAAAAAGGGTTGTTTTGGTGATGGGTTGAGGCTTTTTGAAGAGATGAAACGAGTCGATTGCGTGCCGGGTTTGGAAACAATCACTACTTTGATTCACGGAGCAGGGGTTGTTCGAAACGTAATTAAAGCTAAGCAACTGTTTGATGAAATGCCTGAGAGAAATTTAAAGCCTGATATTGGAGTTTATAATGCATTAATAAGTTCGCTCATCAGAGGGCGAGATGTTAACTCTGCTATGGACTTGATGGATGAGATGGAAGAGAAGCAAATTGGGCATGACAATGTGACTTATCATACAATGTTTTTAGGAACAATGAAATCAAGCGGCATTGAGGGTGTTTGCAAGCTTTATAACAAGATGATTGAGAGGAATTTTGTTCCGAAAACACGAACGGTTGTGATGTTAATGAAGTTTTTCTGCGAAAACCGCAGGCTCGATTTGGGTTTGGACTTGTGGAAATACTTGGTTGATAAAGGGTTTTGTCCTCATAGTCATGCATTGGAGATCTTGGTGACAGGATTGTGTGTCAGAGGAAGATTACAAGAAGCCTGTGATTGCTCTAAACAAATATTGGTGAGAGGAAGGCAAATGAGTGATGCAGTGTACAGGATGTTGCAGAGATTTTTACTACAATCTAATGAAATGGCCAAGTTGGAGGAACTCAACAGCTTGATCAAGAAATTGCAAACAGTTTTGCCCCCAACAAGAGTCTCCATAGATACAGACTAGCATTTTCAACTGTAGTCTTGGGCTAAGATTGGCCAATTGGTCCTTGTTTGCTAAATTGGGCTGTTGATCCAAATGAAGTGTGAGATGGGTTAAACATTGAGTCTGTAATCCTAAGATTTGCCATTTGGTATAGCAAAAACCTTTTCATGAAAATTTTGTTGCTTTTGGGTGAAGAAAAAGGTTTAACATAGACCATGTGCTATTACAATTGATTGAGGACCTTAAAGGTCACATAACTCTAAAACAATTAATTTATCATCATCCAAAAGAATGATCAAACCAATTGAATACATCAAGTGGGAAAAAAAAATTAAAATAAGACCTTGTACTTATGATGTTGGATCATTACTTCTTCAATTCTCTTCCATTTTAGTTTGAAAAATTAGGTGTTCATCTGGCAACAATATTTCTATTCCAAAAAGAGAAACAAAATTGGCAAGTTGATGAATAATATTATGGAATTTCTTATGCAACCATGATCAATTTTCCTGCCTTAAATCTGGCTATTGACTTGGGCAATTTTCAGCCAGTTGGCTAAGTTCTTTTACTAATTGTTTGGAAAGAAAATAACCATAAACATGAAGAAGTCAATGAACAATGATGGAGTCAAGTCAACCTTTTTCATATATTTTTTTGGAACCATGCTGTGTAGGTCAGTTTGTGCGAATTTTAATTAATCTTCAAGATCCATTGAATATTCTACAAGCCCAAAAGACTAATTTAGTCACAATGTGGTAAATAATCTCGAAGTTCGAATTCAAAAGAGAAACATTTTTAGCCACCACTGCTAGGCCAACCGCTTAGGGTTTAAGTCAACCAAATTAAACATAGATTCTCTTTTTTCATGATAATAAATTAACAAAGAAATGTACAAGTTCACGGAAATTTGAATGCTTTAAAGTTTTTAATATGTAGATCAAATATCATAATTAGTTATGGGCTTTGATTTTTTGTGTTTTGTAAAGCCAGTAACTAATTTACAACTTTTGATACCATATTAAAAACTTGTGAACGTCTATACCGGATATTTGATCATGTCTGGTTACAATTTTTTTTTATTTGTCAATAAGGTTTGACTAAGTAGATACTATACCTTAATTTTTTTTTAATTTATTCGACTAGCATACTCAATAATTATTCATCATTTCCCTATATTATATGGTGTCCCCATTTAGCTATGATTTTGCTTGCTCTAAATAATTTTGAAAACGGAGTACTTCATGGTCTCCATGATCCATCTCTTTCTCCAAAATAAAAATAAGAGTAAACTACATTTTCCCACCCAAGGTTTGGCGAATCTGCAAGTTCCCACCCCTGGTTTCATAAATTGCAGATTCCCACATTTAAATTAACATCGTTACTTTTCTCTCAAATAAACCTTACATCTCAAATTTCTCTCAAATAACCCCTAGAGGACTAGAGGAGATCCTGGTTAGGTCAAAAATTCGGCATAATTCTGACACCATTGGACCTTCTCGACACCACCATTAGCATCCCCTTATCCTCCTCACCAAAACCGTAATTTTTCCACCCGATTGAGGTGCCGGAATTTTGCTGGAAATGCGCGACAAAACGCGAAAACCTAAGGGAGATGTGACGACAATTGTCAAGTAATTGCGATCGGCGATGTTAGGGGTTTTGGTGGGGAGAAGTTGGTGATGCTATTGGTGGTGTTGGGGGTGGTTTCTGGTGTTGGGAACTGTCGAAATTTGGATGAAACACCAACTGAAATTAAGAGCAGCAGCCAATGATTGGAGGGTTCAATCAGGCGGGGAGGTTAGGGGTTTTGATATGGGGGTTTAGGGAAATGTAATGGTGGTGTCGGGAGGGGTTGACTATGTCGAAAACAGGTCAAAATGGCCTGAAATCGTCGGTGGGGTGATTTTGAGAAGTGAACGGTTATTTTGAAATTTTCTGGTGGGATGAATTTGAGAAGTGATGGGTTTTTTTAAATTTTCATCTTTGAAATGACCATTTTACCCTTTTAACTATTAAATTAAACAATTTTTTGTTAATTTAAGGGTGAAAATCTACAATTTATGAAACTAGGGGTGGGAACGGAGATTTGCCAAACCTTGGATGGGAAAATGTCATTTACTCTGAAAATAAAATCAATTTCTAAATCGATAAGGTCCATCTCACAGAGTCATCAGCAACTTCCTTCATAAATTTACTAACAAATAATTAGTAATTAAGTAAAGTAATTAAGACAGAGTCATTAGAAAAAGGACATTAAAAGCTACTCTAATAAAAATTAAGAGGTTAGTTGTAGATTTGATGTATATATCTAATTAATCTAACACTAAATTCCATACAAGTTTATACATAAATTATGACTTGGAATTGTCATATGACGTACCACATTTTTAATTAGCATGACTAGTTCTTAAAATTAAATTAAATTGATTGCGATAATAACAATTAAGTTGACTATATCTGTACTGCAAAGTACAAACTCTTTATTTATTTATTTTTCAGGCCAAATTTCCCACGGATACCCACGGGCACATGGCTAGGCTGTGATCGCCATTTAGTTGCAGTAAATTAAGAATTAAAATTTTTGTCCAAGTCAAAGTAAACTCTTTCGTACACAATTAGCACTATCATTTTTTTTTATTTTTTATTTTTTTGTAACGAGGGAGTTCATGCTAATTTGTGTTCACCTCAATTAATCATCAGGGTCTATTGAATATCTTACAAACCGAAAGAATCAAGTACTCAATGAAAAATGTTCTTACAAATGCGAATTTGGCCTCCTCATAGCTAGTTTATATTTAGGGTTCAGATGAGCCGAGTAAATATTTTTTCTTTTAGGTTTAATCTATACATATTTATACATAGTTTTCTACTTTTCTTACAAATGTTCTTCACTTAAAATGTGTTTACTAAGTTAAGAAGACTCAAAACTTAAAAATCATTTCAGATTTTCATTTGTTGACAATGCGAAATGTGAAATGCGATAATACACATGCATGTTCTACATATTTTTTTCGTGGAAAATGTCAATTGGGTTTTAAGTCTTCTTTTCTGTCATTTTTGGTGGACATTAGATTAATGCTTGGTTGCTGGCTACTTGTAATAGTATATTTTTGTCCTTAGATTTTATATTAGTTTCCCTATGTGGCAAGTTGCTTCTTTGAATGTACATTAAATAGCATTATCCATCTTCTTCTTTATATTGAGATCCTTCTCAAGATCAAAGGCACTGTGATTTGTTGAAGAGCTATAGCTAGTTATGGGAAATCCTGAAGCTGGCTCTTCTGATTACCAACCTCAATCAGAATATGAATTACAACCCCAAGATTATCAATATGAGGCAACTCATGAAGCCATGGCCTCTCAGGATCCACAAGCCCAACAACAATTCCAACCACCACAATCGTATCCACCACCATTGCAACCTAACCAGGCCGCCTATGGGGCTCAGCCGGGGCGGCCTATAAATTTTCCACCCCAAAACAGTCAAATGAATTCACCCGGGCTGAATCAGCCTGGGATGCATCCGCAACAAGGCCCACCGTTAGATCCGGTTAAACCTATGCAGTTTCCGCCATCCGACCCGCAAAATAACCAAACATATGGGCAAAATCAGCCGGGGGCTTACGCACCATATAACCAGAAGCCCATGCCAGCCCCGCAAAGTCCTATGAATTTTCCTCCAATTGGACCCCAAGCTTCTACAGGGATGCAATTTCCGCCCAATAATGGGCCACAAACACCATATGGGGTTCCAGTTACAGGCCAGGGAAAGTTGGGAAACGGTTGGCATAGTGAGCTTTTTGATTGCATGAATGACCCAATGAATGGTGATTGTCTTTCTATTACTCTCCAAAATCTTAAACCAGAACATTCATTTCCATTGAAATTGCTTAAATGTTTTAATATAGTTTTGTATATTAAAAAAAATACTGATGTGTTTTTTTCCAATGTTTAAGCTCTTGTCACTGTTCTCTTTCCGTGCTTGACGTTTGGCCAGATTGCAGAGATCATCGATGATGGCCACACCTGTAAGTGTATTATTATCTGTATATTGATTGGTTCCGAAGATCGATTCTCATGTTAATTTCATAAATGTTTAATATTTGATTGTGTTATCTGAAAATTAGCGTGTGGGACAAGCGGTATGCTATACGGGGGGATTGCGTTTTGCATAGCGTTGCCATGCATAATGTCATGCACGTATAGAACCAAGCTCAGGAACAAGTTTGGGCTTCCGGAGGCTCCAGCACCCGATTGGGTCACCCATTTTCTTTGTGAATGGTGTGCTCTTTGTCAAGAATATAGAGAGCTTCAAGCTAGAGGCTGGGATCCTTCCATTGGTAAATCAGATGACTCACATCTTACCATCAATTGTTAGGCTTTGGTTCTAAAAACCTCACCAAGGAATTGACTATCTTTTTCTGTGAATTGAAAATGTAAACTAAAGTGTAAAAATGCCATTCAAAATGATGATATATTATGAATTTAAAAGATGTCTTCTGCTTCTTTATATGTTGTAAAATATTAAAAAGTTAGAAACAGCCCATAACTGTTTGGTGTTTTTGGTTTGATTGATTGCAGGATACCAGGGAAACCTAGCGAGGCACTCAAACATGAATATGAATCATGTTAACATGATGCCCCCAGGGAACCAAAGAATGATGGGTTGAAGAGAACTTCTGGGTGGCTTTCAATTTAGTTTTTTTTATTGTAATGTTCTAAGACAAATAAATGAAATCCACTTTGTATTTATAATTTGAATTTTCGAAGCTGCCCATATATTGAAGTAATCTACCTTTTTCCTTTCGGAGACTTGCATTATTTTCTACAAACAGTTGCTTTCTCTTGTTCCTGCGAATGTTTAAGTTCATTTTAAATTTTAAAAATTATTAAATATTGTTCATAAATTTTTATCTTTAACTTGAATTTATTAAACAATCTTGAAACCCTATAGTTTTAGCTTCTTAAAGAACCCTTATAGTTTGATTAAAAGAGCCATTATAGGGAAACCCTGTAGTTTGACGTGATTGAAGAATCCCTACAGTTTTGCTTTATGCTCATAAAACCCTATAGTTTGACATATTAAAGGATCCTTTTAGTTTTGATTTATATTAGATGAAACCCTATACTGTAGTATGACCCAAATCAACGAACCCTTATAGCCTTATCTACTGGAACCCGATGGTTTGACGAGATTTAAAGAGACTTATAGTTTTACACTAACTCAAAGAAACTCCTATAGTTTTTATGTACAATTAGATAACCCCTGTATTTTTAATTCATCAAAGAACTCCTCTATTTTTAGTCTATCTTATAAACACCTATATTGTTATACTATATTAAGGGAACCCCTATAGTTTGGCGCAATAAGAAACTCGAGTAATTTTACATTATCTCAGAGAAACCCAAGAATTTAAGACCAGAGAACCCCTATAGTTTGACTCTTTCCAAAGAAACCCTGATTTTTAACTTCTCATAGACTCATAATTTGACACTTTTGCAAGGAACCCCTAATGTTGATATTTGGGGACCCCTTAAACTATAATATCAAAACCCCTATAGTATCATATTTTTCCATGGAAGTCCCATAGTATGATGTAAGTCCAATTAGATGAATCCAACAGTGATTAAGTATAGTCTTAACATGATTTATATTAGAACGTGGTGACTATATATATATATATTTTCAGAAATCAAGCGTTAGCTCTCAGGGGTGGGATTTAACCCTTGTTTTTAACCATAGAAATGTCAGGAAAATTTTGAAATACCCCTATTTATCTTATTAAAATGAATAAAATTATTTTATATTTTCCTTTTCCTCTCCACCATATATATTTCACATCACATCACCTCCTTTGTGGTTACTTCTTCTTCAACCTAACAAATTCTATTCTCATTTGATCTCAAACCGAATCACACTCATCTTATATATTTCAACTATACAAATATATATACAAAACTGTGAGTACGTTTCAAATTAATGGCTTTTACACTGTTTTATTTTATTAACATCTATTAAGTAACCAGTGAAAAGTGCTCTGTCGGATCTCTTCAGACATCAAATACGTTCCTCAAATTGAAGGGTTAATTATGTAATGCCCTAAACTTTTTGTCTGTCACTCAGCCTCTTGTCTTCTTCTCAAGTATCACCCGGAGTTCTTCTTCCTCTAACCTACTCTCTCTTTGTCTTCTAAGGAACCATTTCTTCGTCTTTCTCTCACTGAAAATATAAATTTCAGTTTTGGATTTTTCTGACATGCATACTTTGAAAATTATAGGGGTGTTTGTTTAATTTATAAATAAACTTATAAACGGCTAGTACTTATAAACTAATTTGAGCTTATAAGTATTTGAAATTTAAATAGTTATGTGTTTAATCAACTAATTTATATGTAGAGTGCTTATAAACAGAAAAAACAAAAAAAAAAAAAAAAATTTCTCCCCAACTTATTTTTTTGCGTATAAACCAAAAAGTTATAAACAAATAATCAATTTAATTTTAGTTCTTATAAGTAGTTTGATCAGTTTATAAGCTCAGACAAACATTCCCATTGCCTTTTAATGTGCGATTGAGATCAATTAAATATTATATGGATATGGGTTCGGGAGATTTAATAATATATATGGATATGGGCTTTGGGATTTCATGATCGAAATTCTGGACCTTTCTGATCAGTTTTTTTTTTTTTTTTTTTTTTTTTATATTTCCATTTTCCATGTGATTATTACTACTATTTTAAATTTGATTTAAATAAAGTTTGGTATTTTAAATTACAAATGGGCTTGTGTTTACATGGTTGACCACACTTTTCCCTTGTCGTCACAGCATAGTTGAAAAATGGCTTTTAGCAAATCACATGGGGTAGAAATGATAATGGAGAAAGGTTTAGGGACTATATGTAATGGCCAAGAAAAGGTTGTTTGTCCCACATTGATTAGAATTGAAAAGTGAAACTTTTGGGCCATATATAAGGACCCATATCATTGTTATTAATTATCCCAAGTTGTAATTCCATCTTTCTTTTGTTTGGGTTATTTCTTTAAGGACCCTTTAGTTTACAAGTTTTGTTGTATCTCCCTTGTTTGGCATTTGTTGTATTGCCCAAAAGTTTAATGTTTTGGAGATAGTGGAGTTTTCTTTTGCAGCGCCCGAGGACAGGTTTTAATACTAACCTCGTTAATTCTTGGTATTCTTTATTTTTGCATTTAATTTTGGCAATTATTTATGCTTTATTACTTGTTATTATTATATTCAATAAGCTAGCGTTAGAGTTTATGTTTCCGTTGCATAACAATTGGTATCAGAGCCTAGGTTTAGGACAGTGAGTACTATTTGTATGGTTATATGCATGTCTAGGAAATTCGTCAAAAAGACGATAAGTCTAAGGAGACTGGATTTAAGTGGGACCATTGTGACCCCTCCATTGTTTCCTGAATTTTCCTGGTGCTATTTAATCATTCATACACTTACTACTATCTAGGGCTATTGTTGATTTTTGGTTAGCTATTGAATATAATAATTTGTGGAGCTTGGTTATTGGAACTTGTTTACCAAGCTAATTGAGTAAGCATAAATGGCATCATTGTCCGAGGATCATCGTCCGAGGCACACCGTCCGCGGCACCACCACCCACCAGTAAAGATGATACGGTTTCAATGCAAAATTGATGTTGAAAAATTTGATGGCCAAAATAATTTTGGCTTGTGGCAGAGTGGGGTAATGGATAGCTTGTATCAGCAGGATCTAGATATCGTTCGGAGGAAAAAACCAGAAGATGTCTTTGAGAAAGACTGGGTGAGGTTGAATGTAAAAGCGTGTGGTGATTCGTCATGTCTTTGTAGAGAGCAAAATATCCATTCATGAAAGAGACTCTGCCAATAGTTATGGAAGGCGCTGGAAAACAAATCATGAAGAGAAGTAATGAGAATCGGCTCTATTTGTGAAAATTGTTTCGTCTTCAGTTGAGACCAGTACGAATATCAGTAGCCATATTGATACATTTAACAGATTAATTGCTGATTTGTAAATTTGGATGAAAATTCAAAGATGAGCATAAGGCTATGTTGTTAATTGGATCTCTTCCAGATGAGTTGGACTTCTTAGTATTACACTTCTTCATGGGAAAAAAAATTGTCTTTTGAAGAAGTTTGTTCGCTCTGTCCAATCATGAAATTCGGAAGAAGGATCAGAAGGAGAATGAGATGAGTCAGCAGAAGCTCTTGTTGCAAGAGGGCGGAGTCAAAATCAGAGTCGTAAGAAGGAGAGAAGAGGAAGATCTCGTTCGAAGGGAAAACTCAATAGGGATCAATGTGCCTTTTGTCGTGAGAAGGGCATTGGAAAAAGATTGTCCGAAGTTGCAAAAGAAAGAGGGGCAAAGCTGCTTCTGATGCATACGTTGTTGAGCGTGAAGAGGATGAGTCGATTTCTGTCTAGTTAGCCTACCATCCACCTCTGGAACAAATGAGTGGATTTGGATTCGGTTGTACCTATCATATGTGTCCCCACAAGGAGTGGTTCTTTAATTTTGAAGAACTTGATGGTGGAGTTGTTTATATGGGCAATGATGATGCTTGTAAAGCAACTGGGATAGGTTCAATTCGGTTGAAGAATCATGATGGCTCAACTAGAACTCTGACAGATGTTCTTATGTACCGAAGTTGAAAAGAAATCTCATCTCTTTGGGAGCCTTGGAATCTAAAGGCTTCACAGTGAATATGCGAGATGGAATTCTAAAAGTTTCTTCAGGCGCTCTTGTGGTAATGAAAGCACGAGAGAAACAACTTGTATTCTATAATGGTAGTACAGTTATTGAAACGACAGCTGCAGTCGTGCAGAAGGATGCAGATTCAAAAATGCTCAAGCTGTGGCATATGCGTTTGGGGCATGCAGGTGAAAAGCCTTACTTAGTTTGGTGAATCAAGGCTTATTGAAAGGTGCAAAGACCTGTAGGCTGGACTTCTGTGAGCATTGTGTTCTGGGAAAACAGACAAGAGTGAAATTCGGCCCGCAATCCATAATACTAAGAGTATTTTGGATTATGTTCATTCTGATATGTGGGGACCTACCAAAACACATCTTTGGAGGTATGCACTATTTTGTACTTTTAGATGATTTTTCCAGAAGAGTTTGGGTGTATGTGATAAAAACTAAAGATAACGTACTTGGTGTTTTCTTTAAATGGAAAAAGATGATTGAGACTCAGACTGGCAGAAAGATCAAGCAGCTACATACAGATAATGGTGGGGAGTATCGTAGTGATCCGTTTTTGAAAGTTTGCCAAGATGAAGGAATAGTACGTCCTTTACAGTGAGAAATACACCACACAGAATGGGGTGGGCAGAACGCATGAATCAAACTATACTGGAGAAGTTCGGTGTATGTTGTCCAATTCTGGGTTGGGCAAAGAGTTTTGGGCTGAGGCAGTTATATATGCTTGTCTCATTAATCTTCTACCATCAACTGCAATTGAAGGCAAGACGCCGATTGAGGTATGGTCTGGAAAACCTGTTTCTGATTATGACTCTTTACATGTTTTGGCTCCACTTTATTATCATGTAAAAGAGTCTAAGTTAGATCCTAGAGCAAAGAAAGCAGTATTTATGGGATTACCTCAGGTGTGAAAGGATACCGTCTTTGGTGTCCAAGTTCAAAGAAATACTGTTTAGTAGGGATGTGACATTTGATGAGTCTTCTTTGTTAGAAAAAAAACAGGAAGCCAGATGAAGGTTTCAGTACTCCGCAACAGTGGAGCATACTCAGCAGCAGGTGGAGTTTGAAACACCATCAGTTAGCCCAGCTGGAAATGAGACTCCTATAGAGGAGTTCATTGGAGATGAAAAGAGGATTCTTCCCAAAATGTCAACAAGAATCCATTGCTGTTAATAGGCCAAGACGGAAATTCGCAAGCCTGCTCGTTTTGCTGATACGGTGGCCTATGCACCCCAATTGAAGATGAAGTTCCTTCCACTTATAATGAGCAGTTCCGAAAATGGTAAGTGGAGGAAAGCCATGAAAGAGAGTACAGTCTCCCATAAGAATGAAACTTGGAGGTTGTTCAATTACCAAAGAATAAGAGGCAATTGGATGCAAATGGGTATATGCAAAGAAAGAAGGATTTCTGAATTTGAAAGACATTCGATACAAGGCAAGGTTGGTGGCGAAAGGCTACGCTCAGAAGGAAGGAATAGATTTCAATGAGGTATTTTCTCCAGTTGTAAAACATTCTTCCATTAGAATTTTGTTGGCCTTGGTTGCTCAGATGAATCTTGAACTGTTCAACTTGATGTGAAAACCGCGTTTCTACACGTGATTTGAGAAGGAAATCTATTGACTCACCGAAGGATTTAGGAGTATTGGGAAGATTGGGTGTAAACTGAAAGATCGCTTTATGGTTTGAAAACATCTCCGAGGCAGTGGTACAAGCGATTTGATAGGTTTATATGGGTCAGGAGTACACAGAAGCAAATTGCAACTGTGTGTATTTTCAAAGGCTACAAGGTGATACTCTCATTTTTACTCTTATAGTTGATGATATGTTGATTGCTTCAAAGAATGTAGAAGAAATTGAGAAGTTAAGGCTCAACTAAATCAAGAATTTGAGATGAAGGATTTAAGGGAAGCCAAGAAGATTCTCGGTATGGAGATAGTTAGAGATAGAGAAATGGCAAGGTTTGTTTGACACAAAGCAGTATCTAAGAAGTCTTACAACGTTTTGGCAAACTGAAAGTACAAAACCTGTAATACTCCACTTGCTCCTCATATAAAGCTTAGTCGTCATTATCTCCACGTACGCATGAAGAACGAGAGTATATGTCAAAAGTTTCGTATTTAAATGCGGTTGGTAGCTTGATGTATTCAATAGTGTGACTAGGCCCGACATTTCACATGCTGTTGGAATTGTGAGCAGGTATATGCTGATCCTGGTAAAGGACATTGGCAAGCTGTGAAGTGGATTTCCGGTATATTATAGGTACTGTAAACATTGGTTTGGTTTTTGAGCGGATGAAATCTTAGTCAATTTGCTGTTGGCTATGTGATTCTGATTATGCTGGTGATTTGGACACCGTCGGTCAACTACTGGATATGTTTTACTCTTGCTAGAGCTCCAGTAAGTTGGAATCTTCTTTGCAGTCTACATTTGCTTTTCTACTACAGAGGTAGAATACATGCGTTACAGAGGCTTAAGGAAGCTTTTAGTTACAAGGGCTATTGGATGAATTGAAAATTAGTCAGAAGAGATCTATTTTTCTGACAGTCAGAGTGCTATTCACTTAGCAAAGAATCCAGTATTCCACTTTCGCACCAAGCATATAGATGTTCGTTACCACTTTGTGCGGAAATATTTCTGAAGGAAGAATCTTATTAGAGAAGATTGGGACTGCTGAGAATCCTGCAGATGTCTTAACAAAAGTAGTGACAATGATCAAGTTCAATCACTGTTTGAACTGATCAACATCCTGCGAGCTTGATTGTGCTTTTTGGCACATTTGGAGGTGTTGCAAAATTTGACAGAAGAATACAAAACTTTGAAGGTTTGCTAATTCGCCAAGGTGGAGATTTGTTGAAAAATGGCTTTAGCAAAATCACATGGGGTAGAAATGTAATGGAAGAAGGTTTAGGACTTATATGTATAGGCCAAGAAAGGTTGTTTGTCCCACATTATTAAATTGAAAAGTGGGAAACTTTTGGGGCCTATATATAAGGACCCATACATTGTTATTAATTATCCCAAGTTGTAATTCATTACTTCTTTTTGTTTAGGGTTCTTTCTTAAGGACCCTTTAGTTTACAAGTTTTGTTGTATCTCCCCTTTGTTTTGGGCATTTGTTGTATTGCCCAAAATTTGTAATGTTTTTGGAGATAGTGGAGTTTTCTTTTGCAGCGCCGAGGACGTAGGTTTTAATACTGAACCTCGTATTCTTGGTATTCTTTATTTTTGCATTTAATTTTGGCAATTTATTTAGTCTTTATTACTTGTATTATTATATTCAATAAGCTAGCGTTAGAGTTTATGTTTCCGTTGCATAACAGCATATTTCAAGAACTAGAAGGACTCAAATGAGGACAACATGGTTACCAACTACCAAGTATTCATATTAATTTTCAATCTTTCTTGCCAAATTGGATAAATCTAACGTACTGTACCATAACCATTTTAATTTCATCCTTATCCTATCTTGGAATCATGCACATGACGTCCCCATCTTGAAAGCTCGAAATAACTAAGCCCCGAGCAGATTCATCTTATATAATTTATTGTATCATGTGTGTTTATTTATTAGTTTTAACCCCAATGTGACATTATAAATATACGCAATAAATCACGTATCGTTAATTTTTTTACTTAAGAAATCAGAATCTCCTCTCTCAAACACGCATATATAAATTCTGTGATTTAATTTAAATGTGAAATTAAAACCTATAAAAAATGTTTGTTTATTCAACTTAATTCATTAAACAGAAAATTTTTCGGTAACTACTATTGTTTCCAAAGTTAAAACAGATAATAACATGTAAGCTATGGTTACAATTTACAAAATCATAAAATAATAGCATAAAGTTTGGAAGGAAAAAGAAAAGGTTAAAAATATTAACAATAGAGTTTTCATATTTTTAATACAAGTGGTGCAAATTGGAGATTTTTTCATCTTTTCAATACAAGTGGTGCAAATGAGACTTTCATCTTTTTAATACCAGTGTTGCAAATTGAGGGAGTAAGTGATTAATATAAGAAGATGATAATAAAAAAAGAGCAATGTTATAAACAAAAATAAATAATAAATGTTTGCCATGTACCAAACTCTACTGTATCAGCACATTTAGCTGTCCTTATTTAACACTGAGCTACCTCTCTACTCTCTCAACAAGTGAGACTTGGTGAAATAAGATTCGACATTAATGGAAGATTCTCATGCAGTTTCTGAATCTGCTGTTCAAACAGAAAAGAAAATGATAAATCAAGCTTTCCAGATACAGAGTTACCCCAGCCTCCAGATACTAATCCAAATCAGCGTGCTAAAGCTTGGAAAAGGGTATGTGCTTGCTGCATAACCCATGCAATGGTGATACTCTCCTCCCTCTCTCTCTCTCTCTCTCTCTCTCTCTCCAAACTCAGTGGTTTCATTTTGAACTGCGTAAATGTCTTATCGCCGCTATAGATTTGTAACGTTGAATTTTTTTTTACTGAAACTCAAGTTTTAGTTATGGTAAATACTCCACCACCACGGGCGGAGCCAGAAAATATTTTTATGGGCCAAAATAATTTTCAATAAATAACGGGTTAGAGTGATTAGGAAGTTACATATATGGGGACTAAAGTGTTATGTTCGAAAACTAAGGTGGCCAGAAGGAAAAGCTAATTATAGAGAATAATTGATATTTTTTCTAGATGAATTTAAATAAAATCTGCAGGGTCCAGTGTGGCTATCCGCCACTATTTTAGCTTAGGGGCGTAACCATGAATTAATGTAGGGGGTTGGTTAGTATTTCATTAATTCTAAAAAACTCAACGAGTGATATTGTAAGTAGTTTAATATATATATATAAAGTAATTGAGTGAGATCAAATTTATAAACATTAAACAAGTATATCTTGATCAAAACTAAACTAAGCAAAATTAATGAAAAAAATTTTAGCTGGGTCACCAGCCCCCACTGGTCCCTTCATAAGTCCATCCATGCTTCATTTGACTGGATTTTTTGGATATATAGAATTATCTAAGCATCGAATATTGAACCCACTTACGTAAAAGTTGAAAGGTTTTGTATTTAAATTTATAAATTTATAAGCCAACATACTAACCTTTAAATCTTAAATAATGAATAAATACAAAATAATTTTTAATTTCTTACATTTCAGCTCTCGTAACTGCTGTATTCCCATGCTTGACGTTCGGCCAGGTTGCAGAAATGGTAGATGAAGGCAACATCTGTAAGTATTGAAATATTTCTTTTGAGTTATTTTATTTAATTTATTTGTTTATGTTTCTTATGAATCCAATTTAGTTTATAGATTTTAATACCAATTAAATTAACACATCGTTTTCTGCTGCTTCAAACTAATGAAGCATGTTGTACTAGTACAACGCTTTACATGGGGATGTGCTTGGGGATAGGCTTATGCTGCAAGTGGAAGTATGGGTTATGTAAACAGACAGCAGACTACCGAACTAAACTGAGGAGAAAGTTCAACCTTGCTGAGGGTCCTGCACTGGACTGGGTCACTCATTTTTGCTGTCATTGTTGTGCTCTCTGTCAAGAATACAGGGAGCTTCAATCCAGAGGCTTCCATCCTTCTCTTGGTAACTTTTCCTAATTCGTAACATGTCATCATCCTATCAATAATCAGCGGTTAGATGTTCAATTGGAATCCATACTGGTGTATATAATCTAAATCAATAATATTTTGCTTATAATTGAGTCATACAACTAGTAAAAAATTACACAAAATTTATGTAAAAAGATTATTTTGTCTAATTGTATGACTCAGTTATAAATATAGCATTGATCATTATCACATTTATTATTATCTAAAATAGATACTGAGTTTATTATGTGCCTTAATTAAAGGTTGGAATAAGAATGAAGCGAGGAATAGAGAGAAGAATCAGAAACAAAAAATGGAGCACCCAGTGAACCAAAGAATGACAAATTGATCAAGAAATTAAGTAAAGTAGGAATTCCAGTGTCTGTATTTCAAAGTTCATCTACTGTATTATTTACGAATGAAGTGTTGTTGCAGCACATTGAGATAATATTGGTATCTCATAGCTGAAATAATGTTCTGAATTTGAATAAAAGTTGAATACATCAAACATGTGTAAATCTATTTAATTAAGTTGATGTTTGTTAAAGAGCAATGCTAGTTTTACAAAGACACATACAAAGGGGGCATACAAAGACAATCTCCACCCTCGATTTTCATGATTTCTCTCTCTTTCTCTTTTTCCATTTTTTCTCTGTTTTTTTCTTCTGGATAATGTCACTTTGTAACCCTCTTTGTATAGGTTTTTGTAAGGATAACATTTTTCTTTGTTAAATATCCCTAATTGGTCAATTGTTGTAACTCTCCTGCAATAATTAACATCAAAACATTGAGGTTTTTACATGAATACCCCTGAGGTTTAATGAAAGAATAAGAGACCCACATATTTCAGAATGAAACATATACCCCCTTATCAATGATAGACACTTTGTGAAAAGTTAACACAATACTCTTATTTTGTATATTCTCCTACAATAACAACAACAATAATAATAATAATAATAATAATAATAATAATAATAAACAATATCTAACATTTGTTCATAATCAAAATATTAAATAATGAAATGATTTAAAAATATTAAACTTTAACAATTTGATAAGACATTTGGGAAATAAAAAAAACTTGTTCTTTTTTCTTTATTGTGTTGTCTATTTTACCCTATGAAAGTTATTTTTCACAAACATGTCTTAAAGTGTTGATTAACTTTTAAGTTACAGTAAATTATCAAAATCAAGATTAAAAAAATACAAACATTAAATTTTTTTTCAACATACACCAATCGAAAGTTTTCATCACAAAGTTGACGGTGGAGAGTGCTTTGTGTCGTGGCCATAAATTAACAATGAAAGTAAGATAAGCATACACTGGCCCCTTTTTAATTTTTATTTGAGAAGAGAGGTGACTTAGTCTTAGTCTTCGTATAGAGACGACGACGACGACTTTGTCTCTCTTACTAGAAACTACAAGGACTCTTCGTCAGCTCATGGTGGCATCATATCCCACTTTAAACAAATCCGTGGCAATTAATAGTTGAGACTTGATCATTCTAAAGTACGTACTTTACACTCTGTAGTATTAATTGGAAACTAATAAATACTTATGTTTAGATCATGATCATTTATGAAGCAAACCACCATATATAGCAAATCTTGACGTCTGGTGATTACTTCTTTATATATCGAGCTATGTCTATACCTAGGAACAGGGACGTAGTCAAGATTCTAAGTCAATGGGTTCAAAATATCAAAATTGAAAAAACCCAAAACTTAAAATCAACTCAAGATTTTTATTGGTTGACGATGTGAAATGTGAAATACGATACTACACATGCATGTTCTACATGTTTTTTTTTTTTCATAGAAAATGTCAATCGGGTTTTAAGTCTTCTTGTTTTGTCCTTTTTGGTGGAAATTAGATTAATGCTTGGTTGCTAGCTACTTGTAGTATAGTATATTTTTGTCCTTAGATTTTATATTGGTTTCCCTCTGCGGCAAGCTTCCCTATGTGGCAAGTTGCTTCTATGAATGTACCTTAAATAGCATTATCCATCTTCTTCTTTATATTGGGATCTATCTCAGGACCAAATGCATTGTGATTTGTTGAAGAGCTATAGCCAGTTATGGGAAATCCTGAAGCTGGTTCTTCTGATTACCAGCCTCAATCAGAATATGAATTACAACCACAAGATTATCAATATGAGGCAACTCATGAAGCCACGGCCGCTCAGGATCCACAAGCCCAACAACAATTCTAGCACCACAAGCACAACTACCACAACTGTATCCGCCCCATCGCAACCTAACTAGACCACCGACAGAGTTCAACCGGGGCGGCCTATAAATTTTCCACCCCAAAACCATCAAATGAATTCACCTAGGCTGAATCAGCCCAGGGTGTATTCACAACAAGGCCCACCATTAGATCCGGTTAAACATGTGCAGTTTCCGCCACCTGGCCCCCAAAATAACCAAACATATGGGCTGAATCAACTGGGGGCTTATTCACCATATAATCAGAAGCCCATCCCAGCCCCGCAAAGTCTTGTGAATTTTCCTCCAACTGGACCCCAAGCTTCTATAGGGATGCAATTTCCGCCCAATAATGGGCCACAAGCACCATACAGGCCAGGGAAACGGTTGGCATAGTGAGCTTTTTTATTGTATGAATGACCTAATGAATGGTGATTCTCTTTCTATTACTCTCCAAAATCTTAAACCACAATATTCCTTTTCATTGAAATTGCTCAAATGTTTTAATATAGTTTTGTATATTAAAACAAATACTGATGTTTTTTTCCAACGTTTCAACTCTTGTCACTATTCTCTTCCCATGTAGAGATCGTCAACGATGGCCACACCTGTAAGTATTTATTATTTGCATATTGATTGGTTCCGAGGATCGATTCTAATGTTAATTTCATAAGTGTTTAATATTTGATTGTGTTATCTGAAAACTAGCGTGTGGGATGGACGGAATGCTATATATATGGGCGGATTGCGTTTTGCATAGCGTTACCATGCATAATGTCATGCATGTATAGAACCAAGCTCAGGAACAAGTTTGGGCTTCTGGAAGCTCCAGCACCCGACTGGGTCCCCCATTTTCTTTGTGAATGGTGTGCTCTTTGTCAAGAATATAGAGAGCTTCAATCTAGAGGTTGGGATCCTTCCATTGGTAAATAAAATGGCTCATATCTTACCATCAATTGTTAGGCTTTGGTTCTAAAAACCTTACCAAAGAATTGACTATCTTTTTCTGTGAATTGAAAATGTAAACTAAAGTGTATAAATGCCATTCAAAATGATGATATATTATGAATTTAAAAGATGTCTTCTACTGCTTTATATGTTGTAAAAAATAAAAAAACCAGAAATAGCCCATAACTGTTTGGTGTTTTTTGGTTTGATTGATTTGCTGGATATGAATCATGTTAATATGATGCCCCCAGGGAACCAAAGAATGATGGGTTGAAGAGAACTTCCGGATGGTGGCTTTCAATTTAGTTTTTTTATTGTAATGTTCCAAGACAAGTAATCTACCTTTTTCCTTTCGGAGACCTGCAGTATTTTCTACAAACGGTTGCTTTCTCTTGTTGATGCTAATGTTCTTGTTCATTTTAAAATTTATATTTTAACTTCGAGGGTGTGTTTGGTTAGGAGTAATCTCCCATTATTGAGATAATGTTATCTTATATTACTTGATTGTCATGTTTGGTTATCAAGTAATATAAGATTCTGGTAATCTTTTAAAATCAATAGTAATTATTGTTGGTAATATAGTAGGTAATCTGATTACTTCATTTTCTTAAGTATTTTAAGATTACTTAGTAATTTTATTTTTGTGATAATTTTTCCTTTCACTATTAAAATTTTTGAACAAAAAGGCCCTCAATTTGAAAAAAAATTACAAAAAAATTCAAGGACTATTTTATCCTTATATACAAAATTTTTAGGACATAAATACCTTTGCACTTTGAAAAAATTACTCAAGGGTGACGGCCAAATCTGGCCACCACCGACAGCCACCGGAAACTATTGTCGATGGTCGCTGCAGCAATGACGCACGACTAGTCAGATTTGGCCGATCGCGTGTCGATCTAGCAGTTTTCAGACATATATCTGGCAAAAAACTGCTAGATCGCCGTAGATCTAGCTGAAAAAGGTCAGATCTATGACTTCTAGCCATTAAAGATGGCTGGGGTTCTGGCTGTTAATGACAGCTAGTTTGGCCGTAGATATGGCCATTTCTGACTTAATATATCAAGGATCTGGCTAGAAATGGATATATTGGCACACGATCTGCCAAGTCCGACCAGTCGTGTGTCATTATGGCCATTGTCGAAGCCGCTAACTATGGTGGTAGGCGGTCGGCAATGGCTTGGGGTGGGTGGGGGTTTTTTGGTTAAGTTTTAAACTTTTTTTAGTTGCTGAGGTGTTTTAGCAAAATTTTAAATGAAATTATTTAAAAAATAATATTATATTAATATTTAACAAGGTGGACAATTTAATAAATTATATAACATACCCATCAATATATTTCAATTAATCAAACACATTTTCCTAAACATTTCTAGTAATCTTCAAGGTAATCTATTTTTCTATTAACATTAAATTCCTACTAATATAATATTCCCTTAACCAAACACACCCTGAGAGGCCTTAAAAAATATTAAATATTGTTCATAAAATTTTATCTTCAAGTTGAATTTATTAAAAAATTTTGAAACCCTATAGTCTTAGTTTCTAAAAAAGAACCCTTATAGTTTGACGCAATATTAAAAGAGCCATTATAGGGAAACTCTGTAGTTTGACGTGACTTAAAAGAACCCCTACAATTTTGCTTTATCTTGATAAACCCCTATAGTTTGACGTATTAAACGACCCTTTCTGTTTTGGTCTATACTAGATAAAACCCTATAGTATGACACAAATCAACAAACCTTATAGTTTTACTTAATCTACTGAAAACCCCTAGTTTGATGAAATTAAAGAGACCCATAGTTTTACTCTAACTCAAAGAAACTCCTATATTTTTATGTACTAATAAATAACCCCTATATTTTTGGTTTATCAAAGAACTGCTCTATTTTTAGTTTATCTTATGAACACCTATATTGTTACACTCTATTAAAGGAACCCCTATAGTTTGACGCAATAAGAAACTCGAGTAGTTTTACATTATCTTAGAGAAACCCCAGAATTTAATACCAAAGAACTCCTATAGTTTGACTCTTTCCAAAGAAACCCTGATTTTTAACTTCTCACAGTACTCATAATTTGACACTTTTACAAGGAACCCCTAATCTTTGATATTTGGGGACCTCTTAAGCTATAATATAAAAAACCCCTACAGTGTTGTATTTTTCCATGGATGTCCCATAGTATGATGATGTCAATCCAATTAGATGAATCCAACAGTAATTAAGTATAGTCTTAACATAATATATATTAAGACGATGTGGTTATAGAATAAGTAAATATCCAATGTGCATGTATCCTCTAACAGTGGTACAAA